CTTGTCAGTTTCCCCAAGAAAGCCTATTCCTTAATCTATCCTGTGTGATGTGGAAACTGTCCTGAGCTCAATTTCAAGGAAGATAGCAATCCTAAAGGGATAAAATTTCTATGACCAATGCTTATTAATATTCATGGGCCAAGTAAGATTTTTCTGCCTCCTAAAGAAAGCTTTGGGTTTATTCTATATGCTGATGACTCCCACATTTACATCTACAGCCCTGACTTCTCCAGATTCACGTGCACAGCTGCCTCTTCTACACCTCCAATGTTGTATCTCAAACACAGCTGTCCAAGTATTCCCTTGATCTTCACAAACCCAGTTCTGTCAAAGACTTCTACTTTCTCAGGCGAAAGTTTTAGAATCATCTTTAATCCCTCTTTTCTCAAACATCACATCAACCAATCAACAAATCCTAATGTCTCTACCTTTGAAACACATCCAGAATCTGCTCACTCCTCACCATATCCTGCAGACAGAGCCTCCATAATTCTATTCTTGGTTTGCTGTATTAGATTCTTACTCTGTCTCATTGCTTCGGTCTTTGTCCCCCTACGGCCTTTTCTCAAATACACAGGTAGAGGGATTTTGCTAAAACCTAAGTCAGAAATGAGGTGCCCACTCTGTTCACAATCTTCCAAATGCTTCCCATCTGCAAGTAAAATCCAAAGGCTCACAGGTCTTCACTCTGTGTGACTCATCCTGCTACACCCTTTCCATTTCTAATCTCCCCCACTTACTGTGCCTGCTATGCTGGCCTCCTTACACTTCTCAGAGCTGAAGCCTTCACCCTGAGCCTTCACTTTGCATTTACTACTCCCTCAGCCTGCAACCCTCCACCTCAGATAACAGCATGACTGGCCTCCTCATTTCCTTCCAAGAGAGATCTTCTGCAATCTTCCTTGTTAAAATTCTATTTCCACCGTGATCACCACCATTCCCTATCACTTCTTCCCCAGAGCACCTACTCTGGTAAAGGACAGGTTTCGTGGAAAGTAAAGCATCTTGGTTGAGTTCTTAAAGGTGGAATTGTGATAGGAAATAGGGACAACAGAAGTAAAATAAGGTAGACAGCAGGCAGTCAGCAAAGCTGTCTTCTAATAGCTACCCAAGGGTGTAATTACATGTCAGTGTAGGCTCCAGAAGTGACTTCTGTTGAAATGGGAACCCTGACTAAAATATCCCTTCCATCTAAGGCTATGCTGTTTGTGGTAGCTGGACCAAAAGGCCCACAATATGGAAATGTCTTTTCTTTAAAACATAAATCCTTTTGGTTACTGATAGGCAGAATCAAGAAACAAGGGATGGTGAAGAAACAGAATAAAATATAGGCTGTAGATTAAAACAAAAACAAAAACACCTCTTTTCTGGACTGAAAGGCTTGGCTCAGTGTGAAAAAGTCCTCAAAGAGCAAATCTGGAAATTTCAGTCTTGAGATCAAGAAGTGATCACTAAAGAAACTTATAAATATGGCTCTTCATCAAAACCAAAAAGCAAAACAAAAAAATGTTATAAATAAATCATATCAATAAAGTACCAAAATTCCAGAAAGAGACTAGTTATCCTTCTTCCCTGAATTCCTGCCCCTTCCTCCAACATCCCTAGCAAATAGAGAATCTAACTGTGGGTTTGTTTTCAAACTGAAAAAATGATGCAGATATACTTAGCAAGATTCACAAAAGGATACAACAATCAAGAAAAGTGTATTAGAGTTAATGAAATATGTTTCTCCATTGAGTTTGAACAAGAATTCTCAGGTATAGGGGCACCTGGGTGGCTCAGTCAGTTAAGCATCCATCTTCAGCTCAGTTCTGATCTCACCGTTCATGGGTTCAAGCCCCGCATCAGGCTCTGTGCTGACAGCTCAGAGCCTGGAGCCTGCTTTGGATTCTGTGTCTCCCTCTCTCTCTGACCCTCCCCCACTTGCACTCTGTGTGTCTCTCTCTCAAAAATAAATAAACATTTTAAAAAAAAACTTAAAAAAAAAAGAATTCTCATGTATAAAATGTGACATAGTTTTGTCCTGGGGAATGTTGTGTAGCTTAAACTTTTTGATGGCCTTTAAAAATTTGTGGATGATATGAATTGAGCAAATATTTTCTGTAATACTAAAAAAGAAAATCTGCAAAAAGCTGCACTAGTCTTAATATTTACAAAGATCACACCAGAATGTTAATAATTTTGTCACTACTCATTCTGAAGAGTTAAATATCATTTGTGTTAACCACTATGTATGTATTAAAATTGCCTCAAAGGATAAATATAGAAACGTAAATATTTTCCCCTGGACTTGTTCATTTTGCTCTGAGTACAATTTGTATTTCATCTTCGGGTCCAATTTTTCATTACAAAAGATAACTATACTTTCAAAGTGAAATGAATTACAAGCTTTTTTTATGACTACATTTTAGTGAGTAGGTAAAGAAAAAAGCTATTCAATCTAACTTAAAGTTTCAGTTTAGCACTCAGCTAAACAGGAATTTTCAAAGGAAATTCTGCTTAAAGATATGATAAAATACCATATGATCCTGGCTTCAAGCAAAATTCGATTTCATTTTGTAAGTTGAGCAAATGGGCTTACTAGTCAAAGTGAACTTATAAGATCTCTGTAGATTTTACAAACTGAATCAAACTCAGTCATTTGAATTGCTATGCATCTCTCTAGCATTTTTTAATGCAAGACAATGTATTTGTAGAAATAATCATTCTTTCCCAGGGGATGCAATTTTCTCCTGCTCCCATATCAACTTAAAATCTTGAATTTCATAAGACACTTTCATACCAAATGCCACGGTTAAGGAAAACTTAGACACAAAAAGAAAATTTTTGCTACAGTAAAACTTTTGGAACACAATTAATTCCATTTATATTCTCAAGCTTTTCAATTCTATTTATCTTAATGTTAGCTTCACAAAATGTTACATGGTTATAACTCATTATCACTGCATAATGTATTTGAGAAATGTCTGGTTAACTCTCTTGTTTTTAGGTAATTTCACAGCTCAAGTATCTGGTTACTGTTTTGATGCTAATGAACACTCATTAAGCTACCTTGAAATGCACAAAAGTTTTTAAAATTTTTATCAAAGCACAGTATACGTAAGTTAAAAGATCTGTCCAATTGCATGGTTAATTCTCTAACAAGTAATTCTTTTGTATTAATTCCTATCACCCTGGAAAACACTCTAACAGGTAGGTAACTGCTGTTCATGCTACCTAGGGCAAACTAAAGTAGAAATTAAAGAAAGCCAACTAGAAAGCCCATGTAAAAAAGAATAAATAAGTGGCTCCCAATCAACAGAGAAAATGAGATTGATTAGCTCTTTATGTGCCCAACTGAATATGTCATTTAAACACAAGAACCAAGCTTATTTCATATTCATTTTCTTCCAGCGGCTCTGTATGGATAATGGCTCCTGGCAAAATCTGCCTTCCAAGTACACAGTCCAATGCCACGAGTAGACCATAATAGCACCAAGCTCATACCTTTTTACAAGAGGAAAGTTTTACTGTCAATATTGACAGTAAATGAACTGCAAAGGGAGAGGCTGAAAACAAAAACCTCATCATACAGACACATATACTAGCATCCAGAGATGTATTCTCAAAGCACTTTGTATTCTAATGTGCTGGTTATGAAAATCTGCAGGGACTGGCAGACACCGAGTGGCTATCACCTCCTTATTCACCTCCATGCCTGCCCTACATGCCACTCTCTGCCCTCCATTTCAGCATCTCAGTTCCCAGAAGGCTCACAGGACACAAAGCCCATTTCTCATGAAATGATGCTTTAGGATTCTATGAGCTGTTGATGTTGTAGGTCACGCCCAGTAATCCTGGACCAACACCACACAAACCTAAGAGCCTTCTACTCCCTAGTCATAAAGAACATGAAAAAAACTCCTGATCAGTCAGTTGGAAGGAGTGCATGGGAAACTGATTTTCGTGTCATATATGTTGACAGAAGGTCTCTGGTTTCAAAAGCAAAGTACATAGTTATTAACTGAGTTCCAAAGTTTATCACTAGCTAGCTCACATTATTTTACATCTGTAATACAAAGCAGACATCTAAGAAAGATGAACATATGACCATAAACTTATTCTTGACTAACAGTCCTTTCCCTAAGTCAGCTAAGCCAGGTTTTGCCATCCTAAGACAAAAGTTGAAATCAAAGAGAGCCACTTATGTGGAAAATGTCCCACATTAAAAAAAATCCCACAATCACCATTCTGTGTGCTACTCAGGCACTGAATAGGTACACCCAATAAGTTACTTTTCACCATTGGTTTCGGGATATAAGATCATTACAATTAGACCATACTAAAAAATTCCTTATTATCGCTTCCTAAACTATACCTGCCATGGAAAAATATCAAAATTTAGTCTCACATAGGCTGATAGTGTTAGAGTATAATATTTATTCAATTTCATCATTTATGATCACTGTTTTAACCAAATTAACCCCAAGATAAACTCTGACATTCAAAAACACAGAGAGCATACTGATTTTTCAACTATTTTGCTTACATGTACTTTTCAATTCTCATGCAGTGCTCATAATTAGGAGATACTGTACAGAAAACCTCTCATTTATGCTTTCAAGAACCAAGTAGAGAGGGCAAAAAAAATACCAACATAAATTCATTCTCCAAAAAGTGTCCATGGATGTACTGCCACTGTTCCTTCTAATTGCATATCTACAGTACATTCTTCGGTAAAATATGTTACTGCAGTCACATAACAATACTTATGACGAGGCAATGATATCATTTCAGGAAAAGAATACAACAGATGAGACTAAAAGTTGAAGAGAAGGACCAGAGCGTATAAAAGTCATTTGAGAATACCACACAGGCTTCAGTGTTTTCCACTTTCCAGCTGGAAGGAACATGCACAGAGATTTCTTAGCAGACAATTGTCAGGAGTGCATGAAAAATTGGCTTTCATGTCATCTATGTTGAGAGAAGATCAATGTCATTGAGGAAAAAAAATGCGTTCATTATCTTTTGGGTCTGTCTATATCATCTATAGCAGCTAGAAGTTTTTGTCTTGCTTTCTTATTGATATGGGATCCCAGGCAAACATTTACCAGATTGGTAAGCTGCTTCGTTGAGTACTCCTGCTTGGAAAAAAAAAAAAAAAAATCCAAATTTAGTACGCTGAAAGACATGTTTGATCAACGCAAGGAAAGAACAGACACTCAGTTTTCAGTGCATAGTAACTGAGCACTACAAATCCGTGAAAAGCAGTGAAAATTATAGTTTAAGATATGGAAGACAAATTGTTTACTGAGCTGTAATAACAAGAAGGATACTGTAGCAACCATTTGAAACAGAAAGCACTGGAATCTTTTTAATTATGGCAAAGTAATCTGATATGCCCACTTTTAAACTACACACCTTATGCTTATTTCTGTGATACTTTATTAAGTTACTAAAATACACTGACCTCCCAAATTTTTTAAATGTTACTAAGTAAAGTATTTTCTGGAATCCACATTTTGCAAACATTTTAGGTGAAAGAAATAAATCTCTAACCACAGAACAACTTTTCTGAGATACGATAAATAAGTAAGGTAACAAGGATCAGGAAGGTACTAGATTTTAATCCTTCATACTGTCATTGTAGCTAATAAGTAAAATGAAGACTACAAGTATTTTATGCTGTACAAATCTATTTGGTTCCTGAATTTCAGATAATGAGTTGCTAGGATGAGAATGAATAGGGACTCATCAGAAAGGTTTGCATATTGATCTGGTTATAGAGGATCAATAGCAAGAGTTCAGGTAAGGAAAGAGAGTTCTACACCAAATCTAATAAGAAAAGTCATCTGTCAGGATGGCCTGGGTGGCTTAGTGGGTTAAGCGTCCAATTCTTGATCTCATCTCAGGTCATTATCTCACAGTTCATGAGCTCAAGCCCAAAGTTGGGCTCTGCACTGACAGCAGGGAGCCTGCTTGAGATTCTCTCTCTCCCTCTCTCTCTCTCTGCCCCTCCCACTTGTGTTCAAGTTCTCCTCTCTCTCTCTCTTTCTCTCTCAAAGAAATAAATATTAAAAGAAAATGA